GAACAAGGAGGAGTTGCTATATTTACGCAAAACGATAACCGACCTATTAGGCAAGAATTTTATACGTGTTAGCAACTCACCCGCCGCGGCTCCAGTCCTCCTGGTGCGTAAGCCAGGCGGAGGTGTACGATTCTGTGTCGACTATCGAGGATTGAACGAATTAAGCGTGAAAGACCGATATCCACTGCCACTAATCCGCGAAACCCTTAGGAATATAGCTAAGGCCAGGTGGTTCACGAAGCTCGATGTGATTGCGGCATTCCATAAAATTCGAATCGCGTCAGGCGAAGAGTGGAAGACGGCGTTTCGAACCCGATACGGTCTCTATGAGTGGAATGTTACCCCCTTTGGTCTTACCGGAGCGCCAGCAACCTTCCAACGTTTTATCAACCAGGTATTGCAACAATATCTTGACGACTTTGTATCGGCCTATGTCGACGACATTATCATCTACTCGAACGGATCACTATCCGATCACCGCCGAAAAGTAGGCAAAGTGCTGCAGAAGCTCAAGGAAGCCGGGCTGCAATGTGACATTGCAAAGTCAGAGTTCGAACAGAACACCGTCAAATACCTTGGATTTATAATCCGCGCTGGAGAAGGTATTCATGTGGACCCTAAGAAGGTTGAAGCCATTCGAGCATGGGAGGCCCCAAAGACAGTTCGTGAAGTGCGGGGGTTCCTAGGATTCGCCAACTTTTATCGGTCGTTTATCCCCCGATTCGCTACCTTGTCGGCCCCGTTGACCAGGTTAACAAAGAAGGACACCACGTTCCAATGGGACGACGGGTGTCAGCAGGCCTTCAACGAATTAAAAGAACGCTTCGTCAACGCACCGATCCTAGCTCACTTCGAAGAAGGCAGGGAAACGGTGCTGGAAGCAGATGCATCAGGATGGGCTACTGGAGCGGTGTTATCCCAGCGACAGGATAACGATAGATTGGCTCCATGCGCGTATATCTCACAGAAGTTTACCCCAGCCGAGTCAAACTACAAGATCTACGATAAGGAGCTCTTGGCGATAATTCGCGCCTTACGGGAGTGGAGACCCGAGTTGAAGATGGTTCCTCGATTCACTATCATAACGGACCATAAAAACCTGCGTTACTTCAATAAGGCGAGGCACCTCTCAGAGCGGCAGATGCGATGGGCAGACCTGTTAAGTGAATTTGACTTCACGCTACAATACCGGCCAGGGCGATATGCAACTCGCCCTGATGCACTCTCTCGACGTGGTCAGGATATGCCACAAAGTTTCAAAGATGAAAGGCTATCGAATCGGTTGCGAAAGATATTTGAAAAGGTTACGATTCGCACCGGTCGCCCCCGCATAGGCAATTTCGATGACGATGCCCTTCTGGATTTCGAACGAGGGGTCCAGATATTCGAAGAGGAGGAGCTACAACGAGAATGGCAACAGGCTCGACGAATCGATACTACCTATCAAGCGTATTCGAAGGCATTAAAGGACGGGGAACGGCGAGTCGCTGCCGAAACGAATACGAAAACCAGCCTCTCGGAGTGTCACTTGGATGAGAGAGGTTTGCTGTGTTTCAGACAAAGGATCTGGATTCCCGAAAGTGAGCCGCTACGTACCGGTATTATTCAGAAAATTCACGACTCCCATGTCACGGGTCATCCGGGGCGGGACGCTACCTATGCGATACTGTCTCGACGGTTCTTCTGGCCTGGAGCGGCGAAGGATGTAAGGAGATTCTTGCGAAACTGCACCGTGTGTGGCAGGAGCTCAGTGTGGCGCGATACGAAGCACGGGCTGTTGAAACCACTACCGATTCCTGAGCGAATCTGGGCCGATATCTCAATGGACTTCATTACCGACCTTCCTCCATCGAAAGACAATCAAGCCACGAACCTCCTGGTTATAACAGATCGACTAACAAAGGGAGTGATCTTAGTCGGCATGGTCGAAACGACAGCGGAGCGAGTAGCAAACGTATTCTTAAAGCATTTCTATATGCACCACGGGTTACCTCTCGCGATCACGAGTGATAGGGGTCCTCAATTTGTTAGCAGATTCTGGGAACTCGTCTGCGAAAAGTTATCGATTCGACGTCGACTCTCTACCGCTTTCCACCCGCAGACAGACGGGTCTACTGAACGCGCGAACCAGGAAGTGGAAAAGATCCTGCGGGCTTTCACGTCTTATGCTCAGAACGATTGGATAGAACTGTTACCAGTCGTGGCGATAGCGATCAATAATCGAGATGCCACATCGATTGGAATGTCACCATTCTTCTTCACGCATGGCTATCACGTTGATCCCATCGGCATCGAGGAAAGCAATCCCTCTATACCTAGTGGTACTGGCCCCCAGCGAGCGGGTGAAGCGTTCGTGAAACGTCTTCGAGAAGCAACCGATTGGGCACAGGCCGCTATTGCGACTGCACAAGATAGGCAGCAGGAATACGCCAACCGGTCTCGTCAGGCGGCACCGACCTACCGAGAAGGGGACAAAGTATGGTTGAACCTCAAGAATATTCGGTCCCAGCGGCATTCGAAGAAGCTTGACTGGTTACACGGGAGATATACCGTACAGGAAGTACCGTCTCCACACACTGTTCGACTGGATATGCCAACTGGTGTATACCCAGTATTCCATGTGGACCTTATACGACCTGCTGCATCGGACCCGTTACCCTCGCAAATCGTTGACGATACGCAACCTCCTCCCCTGGTAATCGATGGCGAATTGGAATACCAGGTCGAGGAAATATTGGACCATAGGGCGCGCAGAGTAGGAAAAGGGACTGGAACAGAGGTTTTAGTGAAATGGGCAGGTTATGCAGAGACTACCTGGGAACCCTTAGATTCCGTTCAAGACTGTGAGGCGCTTGATAAGTACGAAGGATGTTCCGGGCGTATTTCAACTGCGAATCGACATCGGAACGATACGGGCGCGGAGCTCGTCATATCGACTGTCAAGATGAGAAAGGGGGTACTGTAACGGGCCAGAGCCCGGTGGTTAACCATATGCCATGGCTTTCCGGATACCGCCTTAGCAGAAGGGGGTCCGAGCGAGGTTCTAGTGGGTCCTACCCGAGGACGCCCTTAAGGACTGCGACCGACTCCTACCCCTTCTTCCTTCTTTCCTTAAGATTGTTGAAAACAGCATGTTGGCCTAGTACAATTGAATCAATTCTGCTACAGCCCTTCACACTAATAGCCTTTTAATTATGTTTAGGGAGTGAGCTAGTACGAGTAGATACATTATCTCCAAATATTATCCAGAATATCGACCAGGGAATAAAAATACTAATAGCCTTTTGATTATGTTTAGGGAGTGAGCTAGTACGAGTAGATATATTATCTGAATATGTCGTCTAGAATATTATCTTCAAATATCGACCAGGGAATAACACTACTAATAGCCTTTTCATTATGTTTAGGGAGTGAGCTAGTACGAGTAGATATACTATTTCAAATTATTATCTTCAAATATCGACCAGGGAATAAAAATACTAATAGCCTTTTAATTATGTTTGGGGAGTGAGCTAGTACGAGTAGATACATTATCTTAAAATATCATCTAGAATATTATCTTCAAATATCGACCAGGGAATAACACTACTAATAACCTTTTAATTATGTTTAGGGAGTGAGCTAGTACGAGTAGATATATTATCTTCAACTATTATCCAGAATATCGACCAGGGAATAACACTGCTAACAACGTTTTAATTATGTTTAGGGAGTGAGCTAGTACGAGTAGATACATTATCTTCAACTATTATCCAGAATATCGACCAGGGAATAACACTGCTAACAACGTTTTAATTATGTTTAGGAGTGAGCTAGTACGAGTAGATACATTATCTCCAAATATTATCTTCAAATATCGACCAGGGAATAAAACTACTAATAGCCTTTTCATTATGTTTAGGGAGTGAGCTAGTACGAGTAGATATACTATTTCAAATTATTATCTTCAAATATCGACCAGGGAATAAAAATACGAATAACCTTTTAATTATGTTTAGGGAGTGAGCTAGTACGAGTAGATATATTATCTTAAAATATCATCTAGAATATTATCTTCAAATATCGACCAGGGCATAACACTGCTAACAACCTTTTAATTATGTTTAGGGAGTGAGCTAGTACGAGTAGATATATTATTTCAAATTATTATCTTCAAATATCGACCAGGGAATAAAAATACTAATAGCCTTTTAATTATGTTTAGGGAGTGAGCTAGTACGAGTAGATACATTATCTCCAAATATTATCTTCAAATATCGACCAGGGAATAACACTACTAATAACCTTTTAATTATGTTCAGGGAGTGAGCTAGTGCGAGTAGATACATTATCTCGAAATATTATCCAGAATATCGACCAGGGAATAAAAATACTAATAGCCTTTTAATTATGTTTAGGGAGTGAGCTAGTACGAGTAGATATATTATCTTAAAATATCATCTAGAATATTATCTTCAAATATCGACCAGGGAATAACACTACTAATAACCTTTTAATTATGTTTAGGGAGTGAGCTAGTACGAGTAGATATATTATCTTCAAATATCATCTAGAATATTATCTTCAAATATCGACCAGGGAATAACACTGCTTACAACCTTTTAATTATGTTTAGGGAGTGAGCTAGTACGAGTAGATATATTACCTTCAAATATCATCTATGTCACGGCGCAAGTCATACGTGGTGACTCAAGACGATTCACGAACGAATCGACCCCGCGTCGCCTTAGGGTAACAACCCCAGGAGCTCTGTGTGGGGCTGTGGGGACTAGGTACGTGGAACCTCCATGTATATATTGTGGGAACTGGTGGAGTCTGCCAGACCCCAAGATTCAGTCTTTGAAATCAGACCCCATAGACTTGGACTCTCTGCCTAGCCAACAGGTCCTCTGTCCTGCGATACAGACCCCTCAACAACATACCTGCCAATTCTGACGCGACTACTAGACGATCAAGAGAGTGATGAATCGGAGCAGCAGCAGCTCCTGCAAGAGTTCCAGGACATAGTCGGTATTATCATCCTTCCCGCTGATCCGCTTTCTATAAATACCCTATCGCGGTTTACTGGGATAGGAACAGACCAGATCAGCAATCGATTAGATTCATTCCGCTCTGTTTTGAGCATTCCCGGTGACCGAGATCAGCCTGTTAGGATCCTACATCTATCATTTCGGGATTTTTTGGTCCGGTCTAGCAGCAAATTTCTTGTGGATGAGCGAAGAAAGCACAAAGAAATTGCTCACTGCTGTCTCAAAACCATGCAGAGTCATCTACGGAAGGATATCTGTAATCTCGCAAATCCTAGAGCGCAGAAGGCAGACAACCCCCAGGATACCCGCCAATATCTCCCGCCGGAATTACAGTACTCTTGTCGCTACTGGATACACCACCTCAAGCAAAGTCAGGATCTATCTTCCGGGATAGAAGATGTGCTACTATTTCTTCAGAAGCATTTTCTGCACTGGCTGGAGGCGATGAGTCTACTAGGTCTTATATCCGAGGTGGTGGGTATGCTTGATCTCCTCCACACGGTTAAACTAGTAAGTAACATAGAACATAGCCATTTAAAACTTACACTAATAGATATAGCGCGACGACAATCCTGTAATATCGGATTTTCTGCATGATGGAACGCGCTTTGTACTGAAAAATCGCCAGATAGCCAACGAAGCACCACTTCAGATTTATTACGCGGGGTTAGTGTTTACAACTCGAACGACAATAATTCGTAGAGAGTTTAAGTCAGAGCTTCCAGGTTGGATATGCCAGTTCCCACAAGTTAATGAAAAATGGAGTGCAGAATTGCAGACTCTCGAGGGCCATTCGAGCTGGGTTCACTCGGTGGCCTTCTCGCCCGACGGCCGGCTGCTGGCGTCCACGGCGACGGGCGGCCTGCAAGAGACTTTGACCACTAAGGGAATCGTCAACAAACTCGACTTTTCTCAAGACGGTTCATATCTAATCACCAACTTAGGCACCCTCGATGTTCAATCCGGCCACAAATATCTTGCTTCTAATTCAACCCATAAGAATCGGGCGATCTTCATTGAGCAAGGACGGTGGATAAACATGAACGGCAAAAATGTACTCTGGCTTTCTCCTGACTTTCGGCCTACGTGTTCCGCGATTAATGGGGATTCACTTGCCTTAGGACACGAATCAGGGCGGGTTTCTTTCCTACGATTTCGTCTATAGCAGTCGTCAATAATTTCCATTCTCACTCCATCCTCTATTTTCTAATCTCTTTGTAAAAGAAGGGCCTGGGAGAAAAGTAGAATTTATATGGCCCTTTGGTGCTAATGGAATGTGCCACCAAGTTCCACGAGCCTCCGGATCGATTTGCCACAATTAGATGGCTGACTCAGTGACAAGATCTGGAAGGTTCTACGCCAGGGGGGAAAAGAAGAGTACATACCATACCCCACTAAACAGCACCCAATTTTCAGGCTAGAGTCTTATCAGTGGGGCATAGAATTAACAACAGTATGCAAATTAGTGAAGCTGGTTATGCACTTGTCTGTAAGTCAGACCTCCTCTGCTAGTATTCAATTCTGCCTACTACCCGGTAGATTCATGATTATAACTAACTAGAAGTAGGTTATAGAATAATAAGACTAGATAACTTTCTATAGCTCGAAGGGGTATTAAGAGTACATATATTTTCGATAAAGTTTAATTTTAAGCGATCCCTAGGCTAGGTGTCACGGCGCTAGTCACATATGGTGACTCGAGACGATTCACGATCGACCCCGCGCCGCCCTAGGGTAACAACCCTCAAGACATCATGTGGGGTTGTGGGGACTCGGTACACGGGGACCGCATGTATATATTGTGGAAACTAGTGGAGTCTACCCGGACTCCAAGATTCAGTCTTTGAAATCAGACCCTATAGACTTGGACTCTCTGCCTAGCCAACAGGTTCTCTGTCCTGCGATACAGACCCCCTAACAGAGACGGTAATAATTAGATGGAGATGCGAGATGGGAAAGATATCTCAACGGTTACGGATTCCCTACGGACTGTCTTCCTCTGATAATTTATCCTTGGGGAATCTGCGAGTCCTTCGTTCAGTCGTGACGTCCTGGATTTGCGGCTGGCTGCGGCCACTACGGACCACGTGACCCATCCTGGGTGTCCACAGGTCCAGCTTTCCAAGTCCCCGACCGAGCTTACCCGAGCACTCAATATTCAATTGAGACTGCACTGAGTTCTCTTCTTACAGTATAGGTCCCGTAGCGGTTACTATAGGATCGTCGGAGCTAGGTTAATTGCCTATAATAATATCGAACAGTACGTAATCTATTATAACTTATATAACAAGACTATCTATATATAGTACGACTTATATAAAGGTATATTCTACCTATAGTATATAGATAAGTAGCTAGTGAAGAGGGGAATGCTCAAGGCAGTCTGATCTCACCAGGCAGGTCGAGTCATAGAGGAACCAAACCAAAAACGCAAGCAAGCAAGTCTCGGAATCATCCAAGGTAATCACATAGTCCGATATCAGGAACCATGGGCAGGAATCAAAAAGAGTATGACATTGCAAGTGTAAGGAATCTGACTGTAAAGACCGTCCTCATACTCCAGACCAAAACTATTGATCAGACCGAGAGGTGATTGATACTCTTCCTAATCCCGAATCCCGCATCGTGTGGTCACGGGCCTATGGCTGCCTCAGGCACCCTAACCCTTCCTTTTTCCGACGACCAGAGCCAGACGAGGCCATGTCCTTGACGCACGGCTCCGAACGGTCACGTGAAGCCTCCGGCCCTCCCGCACACACGTATATAACTTCGTTCGTAGCCATACTTAGAAGAACCATGTCCCATCTACCTTCTGGATCTCAATCGCATGGACTAAACAACATCTCCTGACTGTAAGGCCATCAGGCACCCGTACCTCTACAGGAAAACTACTCTAAGTACATGCAACCGAATCCCCCACTACACTAGGAAAATATAATACTAGAAGTCGTATCTTATGTCTAATCTAGTAAACTTAGAATTACTAAATTATTTATACTTAGTAGTAGATACTGTGAAGGGCTGTAGCAGAATTTATTCAATTGTACTAGGCCAACATGCTGTTTTCAACAATCTTAAGGAAGGAAAGAAGAAAGGATAGGAGTCGGTCGCGGTCCTCAACAGCGTCGATCCTATCTCGGGTAGGACCCCGCTCAGACCCCTTCTACCAAGGCGGTATCCGGAAGGCCATAGCATATGGTCAACCACCGGGCTCTGGCCCGTCACAGGTACAACCTCATACTCGTAAATGTTATTGGATGCTCGGATATATCAATTCTTGGTTACCGAAGAACCAAGAGTAGCAGAAACTTAGGCCATGATTAAGACTACTTCACGACCTGCGAGCCTGCAGAGCTTTCAATTGCACTCAGTGTCTACGTTACTCAAATGACGAAAGAAGAATGCTTTCTAGGTTCATGGACGCACGCTTCTCGTGAAGATTTTGTGTTATACGGAGTCACTTGTAATATTATTCGTTCGTATATTCCGTGAATATCAACTCTCAGAGAGCACTCCTTCTTTTTTACGATCGCTTCCCTAGTGCTTTCCTAGCGGGCGAGCGTGCGAGGATCTGGCCCTGTCCAAGGCGCGAAGACCGGAACATCTGACAGCCCTCAAAGAATCAAGCGGAGCTAGGATTCCAAGCCCTGGTATGATACACAGCGCCCGACCGGTAAGAAATAATTTTAACGAACTGTATGTCACAATTTGTTCAGAATTACCGCTGAAGACGTAAAGTGACTGGGTATTTTCTGGTCTATGATCTAAACGTAGCCCTATACCAGATCAACTGTCAAAGAGTCCATATAAAGTATAAATACCCTGGACAATCAGCATATGCTATCGCATCCAGGGTGTATACCACCTGTAAACCGCGGCCACATGATGCGCTACATAAGAGGTGTTTGGATTCGTTTAACAGATAAGTACGTGAATAGTTTCAAGCACTGATCTCATGATGGTTCTACCCGCCGAGTGGCAGTCCAGCTTAGTTTATGATCTCGCTAGCTTGGCGAAGATGACAAAATCTGCTCAGACTATGGATGCAGAATTCTGCGACCCCGACCAAATATCGAAGCCTCCACCATATGTTGAGCAAGAATATTCCCAGTGTGATTTATATTGTGTGAATTGCAAAAAACGTCGCTCACGGTCATATCATCTTCGACACGAGCTGAACCCTGTCCAGTATCCCCGGTACGGCATCTGTATACGGTCGCAATGTGCTTCCGTACAGCACACTATTCGAAGTGCAGTCCTAGCTGAGCTTCCAGCAACCCCATCTATGGCCACTAGCTAGAGTATATCGTCTGATTAATACGTCAACTACTCTTCTTTTTAGATATTCAGCGCACAGTAATAGCTTACATATAGAAGGCCGAGCGATTAATAGTACAGCAGTGGAGGTAGGTAGATTTTGAAGGGGTCGAAACCATATCAAGGTTACTACTAGTAACGAGGGGGTTATCAGTGATTAAGGCTAACTCTTTACCCGACCACCGGAATATGAACGAAACCCTATGGACACAAAGATCCGAAATTGCATTACTCTGGGAAGATATGGTATTCCGTACGTACTAGTATTGCTGGAGGTATTTTCTTAGTGCAGACATGAGAACCACAAATTGATTTCTCGAGCACGGAGGCTGGGCTCTTTCATTCTCTTCCGCCTCCACTTTTTAGCTTACGAACAGATGTATACCTTGCTATTACCTTGATCGACTTTGTAATAGTGAAAAATCTCGCCGTGACCACGTATCGATAAGGTACGTTCTCGAAAACTGCGATGAAGGATAGTTAGCGCTGAACATTGCAATTAAACCTTGGGGGGCTGTAGATGATTTAGAAACTGGACAAAGGTGAAGGTCAATTTCGACCCTAGCACCAACGCCAAAATCATAGTATTTCGTAGCGTAATCGTCGTTAGGTAAGATATGTTCGTTTTTGCACTAATTATCTCCGGCTAGACACACGAGCTCCTGGCAGGTCGAAACTCTGGGGGCCGGGGAGTACTCGATGCCAACGAATTATCCATTTGGATCGTTGACTCTAGACAAATCATACCAAAGTCTGCACCTGGCATTGTTCCGAATCTCGCAACCACTAAGAGTGAACTCCGCCTGTAATTGATTAATACAACCTTGTTTTGGATCAGTACAACTCTGTAGATCAGTTTCAGTCTTGGCAATCTTGAAAGAAACACCACCCCCGTCCGTCTTGTTTTCGAAATTCACAGCCACAACTTGGTCGGGGTTCACCGAGTTCACGGGGGTATTCTCATCTGCAGTCAGCACATAATAAAATACAAATCCACAATGGTTGTGAATTAATAATGATCCTTGCGGAGGCCGAACGGCTGGAGACCCCCGAACCGACCGTGCGAGAAGAATCATCATTACATAGAAACCGTTTACTTTCATTCTGAAATAGTGATTTTGAACCCGGTAAAAGTTTGTGAAAGTGAAAGGTATTTTGCCAAGTATACTGGCAATATTTATTGACGATTGAACTTACAGAACTGACGACACTTGCTTCAAACTTGGCCACCCTCGTTTCGAAGATTCTTCGCAGTGCTAAAAAAGCGCTCTGAATATGCAATTTTCGTGATAGTAATAAAGGGACCCATGAGAATAGATAGTGTACAGTGTGTGTGTGTAATTTATTTACCCTGACCCCTCACCGAAGTGATATGCAGGCTACCACAATTATGTATACATCTAGAATACATGCTTCGTGTACTACTTCCAAAACGAACTTAGAGCCTCGTCGGGGCCTGTCGTGGCCTGGTAGCCCTTATTGCTTGTCTTACTGCCCTCATGGCGCGCGGCTTCGAAATCGCTGTGACGCTTCAGCGAAGTCCAAGACAGCCTCCACCGTCTTGGCACGTGAAGCAGTTCCCCTCTCTCCAGGTCCTCCCAATAAGGTCGTCATGCTGTTTATCGCGTTCCCGACCTTCCCCCGGAGCTCTCGGCGTAGATCTCGGAGTGAAGGACAATCTACCAGAACATGTATCACACCTTCCCGCCCGCCGCAGACGCACAGGCCATCGTCGCGGAAGCGGAAGGCCTTTGCATATGTCGATAACCGGCAATGTCCGGTTCGCAGTTGCTCGGTTTCTTGGTAGAGAACCGTAGAGGCGCCTCGTGTATTTAGCCGGCAATGCGT